AAGCAACCAGTGGTCAGGGCTGCAGAGACAGGAACCTCCTCACTAGTCGTGCGGTTTCTAAAATAACCGCCTTTTGAATCGGGCCCTTAATCCAACTGTCTAGCGAGAGCTTCTTGAGGTGTTGGTCGAAGCTCTTCGCTATCAGCCCGTGTGCCGAAACGACTATCGGAATAATGGTAGTCGATTTCATACGCCACATGGCGGTAATCTCGTGAGCCAAATCCAAATATTTTAATAGTTTTTCATTTTCGGCTTTCACGAGATTCTCGTCATGTGGGATAGTGACATCGTCTAACATTACACAACTCTCAGACCGATCTATTATTATTATCATTATTTTTATTTTATCCTAGTATTAGAAAGTTCTTACTTAAAGCACAATGAAATATACTTATTTGCTTATTAACTCACAGGGATACATTTCCGTCGGCGCAGTTTACGTAATTCCAGCTCCACCTGGCGGGGTTATTAAAAAACTTGCGAGCGCGGAATGCGTTTTAAAAAAGCAATTAACGAACAGAGTCGCATTTCTCAGTTCATACGTCTGTTGTATGTAAAAAAAAACACAAAACCCGTGCGTTTTGTAAAAAAAGATAAGAACGGAAACGTACGTGAAGCATTGTTTCAAAACAATTTGCTTTAAAACTATGTTCGATATATCCTACGTATGAATGATCGGCATTTCGATATGCGTATGCCGACTTTTTCATATATTTTTTATCTAGCTTTTGTCTGTGGCTTCGTCCACGCAGACTTAGAAAAAAAAAAGTGGCCTATGTGTTCTTCAAGACTATGTCCTACATCTATGCCAAATTTCATTCAGATGTGTTGAGCGGTCTGAAGATATCTGCTACAAAACATCCATCCATCCATCAAAACATTGACATAATATTAAGAAGCAAGATATTTTCTTCCTTCTATACTCTTTGTCTGGGTTCCTAAACATTGAAGTAAATCACATATCGTATTATGTATACTAATATAAAAAGGAAGGATTTGTATTTTTGTATTTATTAAAAAAACTCAAAAACTACTGGACCGATTGTAAAATCTCTTTCACCGATAAAAAGCTACGTTTTCAGCGAGTAACAGGCTATATGTTTTTTTTTAATATCACGCGGACGAAGTCGCGAGCATCAGCTAGTATAGTTATATTTTTAAATATATCTTCTATATAAAATAGTTACTAAATACTGGCTCGTAACGAGTACTTGTGTGTCGTAAATCATAAACATTTTCCTACAAATTATTTCAATGAATTCCAATTTTCACGTGATATAAAATGTATTTTAAAAAAATGTTTTTCATTCACAATAGTAAACTGTGCATAGAATATCGTCTCGACTTACGAAGATCACGGCCATTAGTTACAGTCTACGAAACTTTTCCAACGCAGTCGGAACTTCCGTTGAAATGTACAATAAAAAAGCGCGCCGTCTATAGAAAATTATTAACAACCGTACATAGTACTGTATACATTGTATTTTACGTATATATGTTAGTCTGCATCCGTATATCGTTTGCGTCTACCGGACTTTGTTAATGAACATTTTTACGAAAACCCATGTACAGTAAAGATTAAATTTAAATTTAATAAAAAAGAAATAAATGCTTATTTTTCTTTACTTTATTTTATTATTAATTTAAGTCAATGAAATAAATCGTAAGAGCGCATACATGTTTGACTAAAATATCGCACAACTGTTTAGTTTGTTTGATTGCAATGGGCATATATGGAGGTATACGCTACTCGATTCTTAGTGCAACTAAACAGTTGGATAGGCTGCAAAACAATCGACAATCGCGATTGTGCGATAGTTTAGTCAAAAGTGTACGTCCGACTTGGTTTTGTAGACCAAATTTCATCTGCTACGTAAATTCGTAGTCTCTCTACGATAACTGAACAATCAAGTATACTGCGTACGTAGATATTGCTACGTAGCTACGGAATGTCGTAGTGTTTGTAATTAAAAGAAATTTACTTTTGCTTTAGACTTAAATTACTTTATCATATAAATGCGAAAGTTACGATGGACGTTTGTTAGCGTTTGTAGCCTAAACTGCTGAACGGATTTCAATGAAACGTGCTATAGATGTAGACGATAGTCTGAAAGAACACATAGGCGACTTTTTATCCCGGAAATAGTTACGGTTCCCGTGAGATTCACTAATTCAGTTTTTTAATATTTACTCGATCATTCTGCAAAAGTTCAACATGTCTTATTGAAATTTGCCAGAGATGTTACACAAAGTCTGAAGTACACATGGGATAAGGTTCATCCCCGAGAAATGTCCGGTTCCCGAGGGTTACGTAGCTTTGTGTTATTTATATAGCTGGTATGTTTTTAATACCACGTGGAGAAGTCGCGGGCAACAGCTAGTATAAAATAAAACTTTCTTTTGTATCGTGCACAAAGAAGATAATCTATTGTCCTTTGTAGTTTCTTATATCACCTGGCAAGCATAAGATAAGAAAAAAAATTTTTGCTTTTCAAAGTTCAAAGTTAAATGTTTGCTTTGTTTATTTAGAAGTATTTCGACTGGGTGTACTAATGAAGTGCTCGCAGCAATTTGTCTGTCCGTCTACACACGATATCTGTTGCAACTCCCAGCTAAATGACTCGAGAACAATTTCATTATTACTGTTAATGTTCAACTCGCGAGAATTGTTAAAATTCTGGTTTGTTTTTTTAACCGAATGATAAATAGGGTATTTGGAACCACGTACGATTTTTTAAACATCGTACAAATGGACATCTATTGCTAAAATATCTTTACAATCTATACTAATATAGTAAAGCGTAAACACAAACTTCTTCGTGGCGTAAGATGTCAGCAATTACTGCATATTTTGAATAATTGCTTTTTTTTAATAAAAAGCCCTACACTTACGTCACGCATTAGGATATATATATTCACGCCATTAAACTCAAGGGATAAATAAATTGGATAAAAACCCTAATGTGAGAGACCATAAGCTACGAGCTACCAACATCCGGGAACCAAGGTTGTCATTTCTACATTTGAATTTTGACATTACAAATGTAAACAATAAAATAAAGTTTTAATAATTTCACGCGGATGAAGCCGCACGGGAACAACTAGTACTAATAACATGAAGATGAATGATTTGTATTTTTGTGTGTATTGAAATAACTCAACAACTACTGGGTCGATTTTGAAAGTTCTTTTACCGTTAAAAAGGTAATTTGTCTGTAAATAACATAGGTTACAACTACTATATTTCACGTTGATGAAGTGGAAAGCAATAGTTAGTATAATAAAATGGGATTACCATACCATGGATTCGAATAGGGCAATGGGAAAAGAATTCGCATTGCACCGATCTATCACTACCCGACGGGAAAAACAAGTGACATGTAATCTTTCCTATTGTAAAATTGGACATAAGCATAAATGTTTCTCAATTTATTGATATAAAAGCAAATACGCCTATCCTTTTTTTACATTTTTAACTAAGCATAGCAATAGTTTATTAAATGTAAAGTAAACTAAACAATAATGAACCTCCTCCTAATTACTACCTCTAATATTATTCGTTCAATATTGTTTTAGTCATAATACATGGGAAAGATTAAGGTCTTATAAAGGAAATAAAACTTGACGAATAAACCTTTAAGATTCTCGCTGTTTGGAGACTTAGGACAAGGAAGGCCGACCCCAAACTGGGAAAAGGCGAAGAGAGAAGATAAATGGAAAAGATTAGATGGATGTTTGTTAAAGTTTGTAGCTAAAGTTAATCGGATCTTGATGAAATTTGACATAGATGAAGACATAGTCTGGAAGAACATATACGCTATTTTTTTCACGCGGGTCGAGTCGCGGGCGAACGCTAGTATTGTTAATCAATATTAAATTAACGTCACTTCTTGTTTATACCTCGGTTTCGCTGTCATTCCGTCACGAGAATGCCCGAAGGATCGTTCCGCGTCCAGTTTAGTTTCCGAGATGCCTGATTTAGTATTTAAGCATTCAGCCACGAGTATTTGAAATATCCAGATAAATATTTTAGTTGAATATTCAACTGGATACTGTAGACTACGCGACAGTGAATCGATAAGATCTTACCGCTTCGAATACAAAAGAAAATATTGAAAGGAATTTCAATACACCTCAGGTATACTAAGAATGAATGTTTTAAAAAGAAAATTTTAGATGTCGACTAGTCATAGGATAGAAGAATATTTTTGAAGGGGATGTTTCCCGATGTTTTATGAACTTCTAAAGATCCCACCAAATTGTAAATTGTCTGATAAAATTCCAACGAATAAGATATGTGATGGAAATATCGGATTTTTTCCCTTATCTGACAGTGATGTCATTTTTAAGCTATCTAAACCTCTATCAGCCAGAGGTGGGACAGGCCCTAAAAGTCTTAAGTTTATATGGAGCAACGATATTTTTCTTATTAATGTAAATTTGAAAATTTTAGATGGATGTTTGTTAGACTTGGTATCCTAAACTGCTGAAGGGATCTTGATGAAATTTGGCATAGATGTAGACAGTTGTAGACATTTTAATAGTGATAGTGCCCGCTTTAACATCTTAGCACTGCAGGGCCGGCACGCCCCCAGTAATACCACGACCACACAGAAGACAGGCGTAAAGTGGAAGCAATTCCGCGTTTCGTCTGATGAGTGTGGTGCCGGAGGCCTAATTTAAGTCCCTTTCTCTTTACCACCCTTTTCTTATAAGGAGAGGATGGGAAGGGGAAGTGGATTTGAGTGGAGGATATGCATAGGAAGGGGCATTATCCTCTTTACGTGCGTCTCCTCCTCCGTCGGATAAGGGTATTCAACGCATCTGCGATCGCGGATGTCTATGGGCAGCAGTCGCTTCGCCATTTTGGCGGATTCAGGTGGCCGCTTGCTCGTTTGCCATCTTATGTTATAAAAAAAAAGACAGTCTGGAACAACACATAGTAGGCTACTTTTGTTAATTACACACAGATGTCGCAAGTTAGAAATAAAACAAGTGAATAAGACACAGGTAATGTTAACTTGTAATTCCAAACAATGAAGAGTATGACAGACCAAGCGACGGTGTAGGTTAGGAATGCGAAAATGATACCAACACCAGTAAAACTGTCATCACTATTTCTGTCAAGTGAATGATCGAAGCATTTGTTGTCGAAAAACGAACACAAGATGGCGTATCTAATACACAGATTAAATGCCACGATCAAATGGAACAGAATAGCGTAGAAATACATCATAACTAATTTGTTATTATTATAGAAACAACCAAAGAATAGAATAACATTCGCAATTAGGATCAGCCACATGAAAGCAACGATGAACCAGAGCATTACAGCTAGATTGAGTTCATTCTTGATTAGTCTGGACATCTCGGAATGCTGATCTGAAACAAAAGAGATACTAATATTATAAATGCGAAAGTTTAGATGGATGGATGGATGGTTAGAGTTTGTAGCCTAAACGGCTGAACCGATTTCGATGATGTTTAGTATATGTAGAGGATAGTCTGGAAGAACACATATGCTACTTAGTTTTGTTTTTTTAATTCCACGCGAACGGAGTTGAGAAAGCTTGTAAAGTATAAACCTCCCTATAACATGATTGATGCATCCGCGTTATAGGAAACCCTCTAAATTTTTTTACAACAGACAAAGACGTGCATCGCGATATAAGGGTAAGGTATATCTTTATAATATTAAAATACTAAACTATATTTTAAAATACACTTAATTTCCAAACTAAATTTAGTTCTTAATTCTTATATAAAGAAAATAAATTATAAATATCAAAGTTTTAATGCTTTATTTAACTTCTATACAAGTACAATTATAATGTAATTAAAGGAAAGAGGGCAAAATTCCTATTTTCTAACATCCAGTACCTGTAAGATATACGACAGTTTGAAGGGGTCCAAATATAAAAGCCACGAAGATCCCGACGCAAGCAATATACATGGACATTAAACGCCATGTCCAAAATTCACAGACACGAAGGCACATTGTGGATAAAACCTTTCCAACACTGAGAAATTAATCATTACATTTTTTTGTGCATTTTTAATTAATCTGATATTTTTGACGTTTTCTGTCAATTTTAGATAAAAGTCATATCATCATATACGATCATAGATTTTTAAACATAAAAGTCTTTTTATTAAATATAAAATACGAGCTTTTGCCGGCGATTTCGTCCGCGTGGAATTAAAAAAAAAAACAAAAATAAGTAGCCTATGTGTTCTTCCAGACTATTCTCTACATCTACGCCAAATTTCATCGAGATACGTTCAGCCGTTTGGGCTGCAAGCTCTAACAAACATCCATCTATCCATCCATCTAAACTTTCGCATTTATAATATTAGTGAGATTAGTAAGATTACTTTTTTTTTACTAATATCATAAGTTTATCGACATCTTTTATATGTTTTGGAGATACACTAACATCCATACATCCAAAATTTCAGATCTATATTAGTATGATTAATGCTGGGACATCATACTAATATTATAAATGCGAATATTTGGATGGATAGATGTTTGTTAGAGTTTGTAGCCTTAACTGCTGTACGGATCTCGATGAAATTTGGTATAGATTTAGAGGATAGTCTAGAAGGACATGCTAGCTTACTCTTTTTCACGTGGACGGAGTCGTAGACAAATTAAATTATTTAATTATTGTTCCAAGCAGTATGACTTCATTATAATCCAATGGATTCGAACCCACGACTGCTAAATCGATATTTTTTTCTCTTAACTATTAGGCTGGCATGTCTAGATCTTTTGTAAGTCTGTTGCCTTAAGATAGTCATCGAAGCGCACTATCCGGAGATCCGGCAAATTGACTTGTCGTCTACAGTCGTCATATTTTTGGCTACCGGCCAACTATCTTTTGTGTAATATTTATCTAAATTATCGACTTATTCTACAGAAATATCTCATTTATTGAGTAACAAATTTACTCGTATTAAGGCTGTAAACGTTTTCCTGTGACGAAAGATAAGATTTCTGTAACACTGTTTTTTGTTGTAATAACGTCTTATAACCAGCTGTTGCTCACGACTTTGTCCGCGTGAAATTAAAAACACATTCAATGTAACTTTTTAATGGAATACATCCAGTAGTTTTTGAGTTATTCCAAATTTAATACATTTAAAAATACAAACCTTTCCTCTTTATAATAATTGTATAGACTAGCTGTTGCTCGCGACTTCGTGTGCGTTGAATTAAAAAGATAATTAAAAACAAAGCTTATGTTACTCACTGATAACGTAGCTTTTTTGGTGAATTTTTGGAGCGAGTCCAGTCGTTTTTGAATTATATCAATACATACAAAAATACAAATCTTTCCTCTTTATAATATTAGTATAGACTGGTAAATGTACACATATTTATGAAGCTGACTGTACTTGGAAGGTGTTAAAACGAATGTTCGATGGGTCGAATTCGATTCCGCAATAAAGTTTTATTGTGTTGACCGTGTCCGGCCATTGACAAACAATGGACACCTTGGCGTGTGATATCTCGCGAGTTTGCACAGGTTAGTATACTTAAAACGTAATAGTATTGTATATAAAATATTGTAATATAAAAATTCCACAACACATTGATTCATACAACTTCAAGAAATTTTACTTTAAAAAATTTTACCATTAAAAAACTGCGTTTTGTTTTTTTTCTTTTGTTACATTTCTTTTTCTTCTAGTACTATGTTGTAGAACTGCGTGTTCTGTTTTTAGGAATCATTGAAAACCGGCGCTTCGGTGTACACCGAGCACATGCCGAATGGATTCCTTTTCATTTTTTGAATAAGCTGATTCAACTTTCTTTCTTTATTAGTGAGTAAGATAGAAGTAAGGCTAGTTTTATTTTTAAATTATGTTTTTATTTCACATGAGCGAACTCGCGAGCAATAGCTAGTATGTTAATTTTTTTTAAATCCGCGCAGACGAAGTCAGGAGCAAAACCTAGTATTAAATACAAATAACTCGATATAAATATCTATCTGTAAAAGAGGTATCGAGGACCTAAGGACTAAGCTAATATCTGCCACTGACCTGTATCAATAGACAGGCTGTAGTATATTGTGTCTATTTTTTTTCGCCCTTGCTTTTGGGTACAGGAAATAACGACAAACTCTACATTGTTTAAGAGCGGGCGCTTCTTTTACTAAACTATCGCGAAACTGTCGTGCGATTGTGGATTGTTTTGCAGCCAATTCAATTGTTTAGTTGAACTAATCAAGTGTTTGCAAGCATATAGGAATCGAAGCGCTACTAAACAGTTGTGCGTAAAAAATATAATACAAGTATGGTAAAAATGATAACTGTAGTCAATTTCATAAACTGGCACAATTACCAAGGATGAAAAGAAGTGTAAAATAATATAAAAATGAAGAAATTAAAGAGACAGTAAAAATCAAAACAAACTATAAAAACACATTTGATTAAGAAGAAAACCTGAAAGCAAACTCTGACCATCTATGTCGCACTAGAAAAAAAAAACAGTTATGCGATAATTTAGTCAAAAGCGTGTGTACGCAATAATAAATACATGATGAACATATCACAACTTTGCCATAATCAGATATCAGATATTGTTTCAAACCCCATACAACTTACAATAGTCAATCTAAATTGTATATGTGTACTGGGAAACCAAATGTCATATGTACGCGGTAAAGAGGGTTACGCTATCACGGATTGTCGACAATACCGTCTGTGACAACAATGAGCAACTGGAAATTGAATTTTCAACGTTTTACACGATGACACGACCACGAAGACTTCGGACTTGGTAATTTGTAATAAATTTAATTATTTATTAGCTTCACAGAGGTTCTATTGTTAATATGTAGGTATTTATTTGAAGTAAATCACGCGAAATTATAATTATTATATTATTAATGTAGTAATAATTCTTTTTAAATATTAGATAACGCAACAGTATCTCTCTAAACAACAGTAAAACTTCTTCATTTCTCCACAAAGGCCACCAACGCATGTGTAGTTTCTCTAGTGTTGCAGATGTCCATGGGCGTCGTTGACCACCTCGGTGTTCCCGTCGCTCGTTTGCCCCCTTTTGCTAGAAAAAAACTAATATGTTTAAATAACACTTTTTTTATATAGTGCACTTGTTAAAATAAATACCAGTTTCATAGACATAAACAAATAGTTCCTTGAAATTCTAAAATCACGGGAATGTTATAAATTAAGCAAGTCCATAGTATCAGTAGTGATGTGACAAGTTACTCGCAGGTTGAGTTTGAAACAATAAACAAAACAAGTAATTCAAGTTGACGCGCGGCTCACTTCACACCGAGGTCTATTCATTCAATTCATTCAAAGCAAATCTATTCATAGTTCCAGGTAACTTCATATGGTTATTTATGTCAAAAAAAAGTTAATATAAATTACTACTTTAAAAGTAACAGGGTATTACTAAAACGAATCTTAAACTTAACAGTGGTAGAGCCCGCTTTGATATCTCCGCACGAATGGGTCGGCTCGCCCGGCGTAATACCACCACCACACAGAAAAAATGCGTGAAGTGGAAGCAATTCCGCGTTTAGTCTGATGAGTGTGGTGCCAGAGGCCTAATTTAAGTCCCTTACCCTTTTTACCCTTTTCTTAAGAGGAAAGGATGAGAAGGAAAAGTGGATTTAAGGGTGGAGGAGACCCATAGGAAGGGGAAATGTCCTCTTTATGTGCGTCTCCTCCTCCGTCAATTAAGGGTAGGCAACGCATCTGCAATTGTGGATGTTTATGGGCAGCGGTCGCTTTCCATTTCGGTGGATTCAGGTGGCCGCTTGCTCGTTTGCCACCTTTTATTACATAAAAAAAACTTCGCTTCGCGCTACTTACGTATGTATTTTTTTGATAATAATAAATACCATAATTATTTTATTTCCTATGCTTTATTAAGATAGATATTTCAAACCTTAGGTCTTACTTCATAATTCCGAAACACCAAGATATAGCTAAATAAAAGCGTGGAATTAATTTCCGCAGTGCCTGGCACTGGACGTCCGCTCGCCACAAACTGACCAGACCGAGTGCGATATCAGTTCGAAATTCAAATTTAACGTTCGACCGGAGATGCGGCGTCTGCTACTTCCGGCTTCGCGTTCCGTTTCACGGTTGCGCTTAGTTGGAATAGTCTATACAAGTTACCGATTGAGCTCGTATTTTAATTTTAAAACGACATTTAGACATACACATTTTTAGAATTCATTTATAGAGTTTGTACAGACACTTCGGTAGTGGTAACTGACAGATTTAATCGTATAATAGCAGTGTGGTGTAAGTTATCTTATTTATTCGCCGGTAGCGAGCTGTAAGGCAATTTAGGGCTCGTTAATATTTTACATTCAAGCATATTCCCATGTGAAATATTCCGTCTGGAATTACTTCGAGTCCGTTTCCAATGTAAGAACACGTCATATTTGAAAATATACTACCAATACTAAAATTGTTAAAACAGCAAATCGACAGAGTTTAAAAAGATAATTTAATAATTTTATTTGAACCAAAGTTTAAAAGATAATACGAGTAAGAGGTGTTGATAGATCTTCCATCTCAAAATCACTATTTACTACTGAAGGATTTGCAGATTTGCAAAAAAGTCGAGTAATTTTTACATATGTTGACGTGTGACAATGGACACGGAGTGAGATTTTTTGGATAAAGCACGTCTCCGCCATCATTGGTAATCGTTTCGCGCGAAAACTGCTGTCATCTGTCAGATAGACAGGTCGATTTGGCGCCAAAACAAAACAAAGTTTTTCGATACATAAACATATGAAATTAAAAATAAACTACTAAATCGTACGTTTCCTAGTTTTACATTTTTGTCTAAGATAACCTCGTAAAATGGACAGGCTAAAATAGATGGACGCAGTTGGTGGTGTGCGGTGGAGAGAATTGAAACTAACGATAGAGATAGAATTCACTGTCACTAACATCGACAGCCACCTTTAAATCATATTTTCAAGCAAATACCTATCCATTTATGCATACCAATACCAAAAGCCCTTCTATTTGTCACAAGAAAAAAAATACATCTTTGAATAAATATGCAAAGTACTAAATACATTTTTACGAAAC